AAAAATATCGAAAAATATATCAACATTAGATTCATTTTGTAGATAATTTTATTTTATGTATTTTAATATATTTTGTTTATTTTTAAAAATAATATAACATCTATTTTTTTATAAAATAAATGAAATATAAAAAGAAAATAGAGAGAAAAAGATGGTGAACTATGGTGAGCTACATTGTGGGGGCAATCCGCTCACACCATTTCATTTAGACAAAACTTCAAAAATGGTCCCTATGGTTTTCAAAAATATCAAGTTTAGTCCTTAAGTTCAAAAAACCTCACAGATGGTCCCTGTGGTTTCAAAACTTTTAACAAATGGTCCTTTTTCGCTAACTCTGTTAGCTTTGGACCGTTAAGTGAAGGGCATTTTAGTCATTTCACAACCACAGGGACCATTTATGAAGTTTTGCCGTAATTTTTTTAAAAAAGAAAAATAAATATAATTATTTAATATTAAATCCCCCCCACTCTCTCTCTCTCTCTCTCTCTCTCTCTCTCTCTCTCTCTCTCTCTCTCTCTCTCTCCAACCAAACCACCATTAATAATGGTCATAAGAAAACAAAAATGTTTGAATGCTTATATGGGCTTACTCTTCCAGATCCTTTGATTCCTTCCTCCGGTCACCACCGACCACCACTAGATTCACCCGTTAATATAGTCGCTCGTTTTTCGCATACCACTCCATAAGTTCAGTCAAGTTCTTCGTGTTTTCTAGTTGATCCATTGTGAATGATGCATAACCATAAAATGATGGGAGAATACGGGATTTTCAGTTCCAAAGACGATAAACGGTAATAGTGCTTGGTTGTGATGGTTGTTGATCAAGATGGGTAAAGAAGGTGGAGAAGACGATGAACAGTAACTATCGTCCCAGGTTTCTTCACCTTTCATTGAAAATGCCCTAGGTTTCAACCAGTTTCTTTACCTTTATACACAATTTCGAACCCAAATAGAGATGTAGATGTCTTTGGATGAAAATGTGATACAAATACGTTAACATCGAATTTGAAAAGCAGGGTTGGTGATGCAGGTGGTAAAAAGCCACCATGGAGGGTGGGGATTTGTTGTTGGTTTTTAGAAAACTCATCGCTTCCTTGTTTTTCTGTCAGAAACTCCTTCTTTTTATGGGATTTCTCATTCTATTCCATCTCAAATACAATGTGAACTGATGCTTCAGAAGCCTCCTCCATGTCCGCTCCATTATGAGGGATACAAATGACTCATTCCAGAAAATCATGATTTTTGGTTTAATGTGTATATTTCTCATTTTCTCATAATCCCAATAGAAAATATATGTGTATTTGGTTCAGCTCAAATTTTGATGCCAGTTAGAAGAGAAAACACTTATTCTATGGTGAATTTATTAAGCTACACATCAACTGTTCGTGAAAATGCCTCCATAAAGCTATCGTCATGATTTCTTAACTTTTTCACCTCCTTCCATGTCTTCACCTCTTCCTCTAAAAAAACTCATCTTCCCACATCAACATCCTGTTAAATTAACCAGAAATCAACATGAACAATTTAATCCCAAGCTTGGTTTCATGAAGAAAAGAAAAATAGTTACACTAAAAAGGAATAACTCACAAGCTACAATTGTTGTCTCCTACTTTGCACCTGTTACCACCGCACCTTGAAGTTGCCTGAAAACAAAGGAAAAATCAAATTAAACTACAGACGGAACGATGGATTTAAGGAGAATACGGTTGAGGACGAATATGTAAGGGTTTTTTTAAGCAGCTTTGGTTGTCAATGGTGAACAAAAGGTCATGTTCTTTGTTTCTTAAGAGAGAGAGAGAGAAAGAGAGGGTGGGGCCCTTTAATATTAAATAATTATATTTATTTTTCGTTTTTTTTTAAATTAAGGCAAAACTTCATAAATGGTCACTGTGGTTGTGAAATGACTGAAATACCCTTCACTTAACGGTCAAAAGTTAACGGAGTTAGCGAAAATGACCATTTGTTAAAAGTTTTGAAACCATATGGACCATCTGTGAGGTTTTTCGAACTTAGGGATTAAACTTGATATTTTTAAAAACCACAGGGACATTTTTGAAGTTTTATCTTTCATTTATCTTTAATTTTTTTTTGGATGAGCCATGGTGAGCTGCTACCAATAAAGATAATCTTAGACTACCCCCGTTGCTGAGTCAAAACTATAGCTCACCAATAAAAATTTAAAAATAAAATAAAATAATGAGACTACCCACGAATTCAACTCACTATATTTTTATCTTTTTCATTGTTCGGGTGTCACCAACTCAAGGAGGGATTATATTAACTTTTATAAACTAAAAGTAAATTTGAAATAAATATATTTCGACTTTATTAAAAAATAAAATAAAATATACTAAAATACATAATTTATTTTCTCTACAAAATTAGATTAATATTGATATAATTTTTATATATAACTTTTTAGATGAAATTTGGGTTGGGTTGGATTAGTAATCCAAGATAAAATTTTGGAATGATTATGTTGTATATTTTATTAAGAAAAATAATAATTTTTAATATATAATTGGATTGGATTATGTTACCAAATCAATATATAATCTTAGGTGTTGTTTGTTTTTTGGAAAAAACCTCTTCAAACATCTTACTGCTACGCGGCGCAGCACACGCGCAGCACTTTTCATCTCGCAGCTGTTTGTTTTTTAGAAGTCTTTTGAGTCAAAAACCTCTGCGCAGGCTCTGTTTGGCGCAGCACTTGTACTGCCTTTTCTAACATCTTCCAACCTCTTCTTCTTCTTTTTTTATTGCTGAAATTTTGATTATATGTTATTAAAATTTTATTTTACATTTTTTTTTCCGTTTATTCTTATTGAATTTATTTTTTATTTTTTTATATTCAATAATGATAATTTCTTGATGAAATATCATTATTTTTTACTAAAAATATCTTTATTTTTTGTTGAAATATTATTCTTTTTTACTGAAATATCATTAATTTTTACTGAAATGTTATACATTATTAAATTTTACGTATTAAAAAGCTATTTTCGGTTTATAAAATTAGTTTATTTTAAATTTTTAATATCTGCAGCAGTATGCAGATGTTAAAAAAACAAACACGCTTCTTATTATAGTCTGCAGCCGTTTGGTCCACCTCTTCTACTGCAGAGGGTTGCAGAGGTGGTCCGCAGACTTCATGAATTTTTGCTTCAGAAAATCAAACAGCACCTTAGATTCCAGGATAGGACCGACACCCTTAATTTTTCAAACAACAGTGAAAAAAAGTTTGAAATTTTTTATTATTTTTCACGATCGAGCAACCTGAATCTGCCTACGCCCTGTTCCATTTGGCCTGCACAAAACGATTGATACGGAAATTGCAGACCCATTTTGAAGTGACGAAATCCAAAGACGGAAACGATACAAAGAACATAGATGCCTGCCACACATCCGGTGATTCCCTGAGATGGAGATGGTAGTGACGCACTACCTCTGCTCTCCTCTCTCTCTCTCTCTCTCTCTCTCTCTCTCTCCAAGTCTTTCTATATTCCGATGAAGAAATGCTAAAAACACCCGACGATGGCACAGGCACGCACAGGCGCATATCCCCATTTCCTCCGTACGATAAACATCTCTATCTCATCACTATCGGCGCCCGTGAATATTCCGTTAGCAGTTGTTGAGGCCAATTGATTGCTCGAAAACCAAAGAATAGTGTTAATTTTTCCATATTCGACTTACATCGGAGTTTTCGATGGTGACAGTGGGTCGAACCATCTACATTCATCACCAGTCAACTCTACCGTTACCTGCAGAGTAAGCAGTATTTGAAAACCCTGAATTTCTTCCACTTTTCATTGACGTAGTGAATTTGTTTTTTTAGCAATTATTTCTTTTTAGCTAGAACTTAATCGTTCAGAATCTGATATGATTGCTTAATCTGATGTAGATAGTCACTCTACTTGCGATGTCATAGGTTCGCATCCTTCCCTTTCCACTGCGTCTGTTTGTTGTGTGGTCTATTAACGGATGTTACTTGATACTATCATCATCATCATCACTATCACTATAATATGCTTCCTCAGTTCTAAAACATTACATAATCAGGATAAATACTTAGATATGGAGAAAATGGTTTGTTGTCTCTAACCAAAACTACAATTCACTGCACATGAGAGATTATCTTCACTAATTTTCATCATATTTCACTTTTAGCTACCTGAAAAAGCATGTGTTGATAAAAAAAATTGCATAGTTCTCCTGATGTTCTGAAATCAATTGCCAAAATTGTATATGGCCACATTGAGATGTTGTCCATTTGGCATGGTTACAGAATCAATTTCTTATATGATCCCGATCAACACCTTCCCCCTTGAGGTCCATATCTCATATTATACCACTTACATCTGTCCAAATCTTGGGTCCCATTTGGCATTCTATTCTTTTTGCTACAATAATGTTATGCATTCAAAATTCAAACATCATTGATGTACTCTCTTGAAGTGAATGATATGAAAGTAGACAGACTATGGGATGCAATAAATAAAAGAAATTATCTTAAATAGCTTTTACCCACTTTTTCTTATTATTCTATAATAATTAATAAATATAATTCATAAGTAAGTTAATTATAAAGATATTAAAAAAGATTAGTCTTTATTGTTTAGTTACTAGCACATACATCATCAAAAACAGATGATTCCAAACTCTCAGAATGGTAGCAGGAGCAAATGTAAATTTATGCGGAATCTCCAAACTCTCCAGTTTTTGGATCTTTTTTTTTAATGTCCACCAACAACTACAAACAAATAGTAAACACAGTGCATTCAAAACAAAATTAACTATTTTGTAAAAGGCTTTAAAATTTTTATATTGTCAATCATAACATGATAAACATGTGATATGAGACACACCACCATACAAATCTAAACCTTATAATCATCGACTTATCTTTACAATAATAAGACCACAATAAGGAAAAGTCAAAGTCAAACACCATAGTGACCAAAATAAAGGAAAAACTCTACAATCCATGAATGCACAAATCTATATCCTTTCACCTTCAACTTCTTTGGAAGAAAGAGGAGGTTCAAATCTTGTGAAAACCCTAAAAGCCGATATCAAAGAAAGCAGAAAGAAACAAAGCAAAGCAATAAGATGAAGAGCCAAAATGAGATTTAATCTCCCACAAAATCTTCCATATGAAGAGCATGCTTCACTCCATGTCACCTTTGGGTTGCCATTGTATGCCAAATACACTATCTCCCCAAAGCTACCACCACTTGCCACCATCAAATATGCCACCACCTATAAAAGATTGAAAGAATTTGCCTATTATTTATCATGAATGTTTCAATTTAAAAAAAAATGAGTAAAATTTTAAATCAATTAAAACTTGGTTGGTAGGTTGTTATCTTTTTTCTGTTTTTTTTTTCGTACCAAAGATTACTTTTCCACATTTTTAATAAAACAATATAGAATGTTGTAGACATCTAAACGTAAAGTCATAAACCTTTAACTTGTTTTTAAATTAGATAACTTTTCCTTTAATTTGACCGATTTTACCTTTTATGAATAAAATATATTGATCTAGAACTTCTATTACTTCTATTAGATAACTTTTAACCACTTGGACAAACTCGATTGGATAATTCAAAATTTTAAATAATGTAGATATAACCTGATCGCAAACAAAAAAGATCCAAGCTTTGTTCATCAAGTTCTTGACCCATGAAGAAACAACAGCAACCACAGCATACGCAGCAGAAATTGTACTAATGCTGACCAAGAATCTGTAAAAAAACACAAAATCTCATTAAATAAACAGAATATTTCAAGAATCTTGATGGGTGTCATTTAAAACATGTCAAAGAGATGGATAATTACTTGAGACCCTTGAGATTACTGAACTCTATTTTGCCATACATTTCGTTATTTTGATGATTGGTCAAAGTCAACCACATAGAACCAAGACTTAGAGGAACCACAAACAACCTTAACGAGGAATCTATGACTTTAAGGGTATTCATATTTTCACCAAGAATCATCATTTTGAATCCAAGAAAACCCCACTTCCAATTTGCAACAATAAACTGAGAATATGCTCAAGATTCCGACTTTTCACTTCAAGAAGACGAAGTTAAACGGGTACAAAAAAGCAACTTTTTTTTGGGATGAAACTGTCTGCAAGATCAAATTGCGCATGAATAAAAAAAACTGGGAATTTAGGGTTTTCTATGGACTAAAGAATCATGATTTGAGGTTGGTTAACAGTGCAGGAAAATGATCAAGCTTTGGTGTTGTGACCTTGGCGAATATGAATGAAAATGAGTGAAAGAAAGAAAGAAGGTTTTCGTTTATGAATCTGTTTGGATGAATGAATCTAAAAATTGGGGAATTTGTAGGGTTTTCTTTAGGGCCAAAGAATCATGATCTGAAGTTGGTAAAAAGTGCAAGAAATCAATAATGGATTCCAAGTGGCCGAAAGGCCCTTTCCCCGAGCTACCACAGCACTATGCCCACTATATCGAGTGTTGAGTTCCCTTTTATGATGAGCTATAAGAGCACTAATATGGCGCATGTAAGTTGTACCAATTGCATTGAGAGTTATAATTTTATATGTACTGTAAGTTGTATTTGTATCTACTGCATTGAGATTTGTGTATGTTATGTAATGACTTTGTACAAGATGGTTTGAACTCGAATATTGATGGTTAGGTTACTGTTACTGTGGAGGCTGCAATTTGTGTAGTTCCCAAATGGTAATAACTAATAAAGGTGGTCTTTAATAACCCAACCACCATTACCATGTTTAGCACTTGTCAACATTTCACAAGTGTTTAATGTAGTATTTAAATTCGATGTGAAATCACATCTCACCCAACTCCATTCTTTTTACTAGTTTTTATATAGATTATGTTAATAATAATAAAACAAAACTTTGATGTGTGTTCCAATAAAGGTTCTTCAACTCCACACTAAATGGAACCGGAACTATTGATTATTTAGATTTTGTGACAGCTCCTAATTTGCTTGGGGCCGGAAATATGTGACCATTACAAAATTGCAAATCAATGCTTTTCCCAAATTTCTGAATCAACTACTCCAAAGTTCCAAGGTGTCAAAAACCTGAAATAATAATTAAATATATTCATTAATAACAACCTACTTTTCCGGAGTAGACATATAAAAAAACAAAATGAGACCATAAAAACAAAAGCGAAAATAGAACCACAACAATAAAATTTTATAAAGTTAAAAACATGTCAACTAGAATGTTGTTATAGAAACATCATGACAAAAGTAGTAGGATGTTATGCCATTGTAAATCACTTCAAGGAGGGACGGATGGTGTTATAAAAACATCACCAAAGAAACAGAAACAAGATTGTTGGTCAAAAATCACTTGTGAGTTGTGAGAGTGTTTTGTCTTTGTAGATTATTTTAACTCAATTTCTTTATGATAAACGTATACCCATCGGGATCCATCACACGATACCACATCACTTATCTATTGAAAGCAAAAATTTTCCTCCACCGACATCATTTGATCCGTATCTAAACACTTGAAATAAGTACATCTTTTGTTGCATCAAGGCCCATGGATTTTTTTAATTTTTTTTTCTTTATAAACTTTTTTTAGAAAAAAAAAGCTATTTTACCTGGGCTAGTAATCTAGTCATTGTTAATTATATAGTATCCCAAATAGATAATTGCCTCTTGTAATCTAGTCATTGTTAATTATATAGTATCCCAAATAGATAATTGCCTCTTTTTCTATTAATCGTATTGTGATTTTTTTGATATTTTCATCCCCTTTGATACCCATTTAATTTTAGTTTTTGCGACAAATCCATACTCTTTCCATTTCTTCAATATCACCAAGTTTTGTAATTAGGTCCATCCTAGTATTCATATATCGATCACATATATCATTATAACAACAACCATCTAGAAACTTACTCATGTCCTGCTCAGGTTAATGAACTAGAAAGATAACGAACTTTGATCTTTATTCACATTAAGGTAACCATGTTTTTTTGTACACATTTGACTATTGAACTTGTTTAACCTATTCAAAATAAGGTAATATGATTGGTAATCAACGATAACATTACTCTGTTATGAACAGGTCAAACAAGTTTACTGCTCAAATGTGTACGAAAAAAAACATGATTACCCAAATATGGACAAAACCAAAGTTTCTTACCCGTTTTTGTAATATTTGATTCTTTATGTTAAGTGTAAGTAATCATGACACCCATTGATGTGATATGAAATTGGGTTGTTCAATCTTTGTGTATGAGGAGATTGTAAGGTCTTTGGCCAACCCAGTTTAGGCTCAACTAGTTAGGGGTTAGGTTGTATACACTTAAGAAGGTATGTTGTATGTGCTTTAAAAACCTAGTAACACAACCTAGCCCATGACTTGTCGGGACTGAACTGGGTTAAACCAAGCCAATCCTAATTGTTCATTAACTGTAGGAGCCTGATCCCAGGGCACAGTCCCTGAGATGGTTCTTGTCCAATATTACCAAAACGGGTAAGAAACTTTGGTTTTTGTCCATATTTATGTAACCATATTTTTTCCCTACACATTTGACCAATAAACTTGTTTGATCTGTTCATAATAAGGTAAAATTATCATAATTACCAGTCATATTACCCTATTTTGAACAGGTCAAACAAGTTCAATGATTAAATGTAAATGAAAAAACATGATTACTTAAATATGGACAAAAAACAAGGTTCGTTGTCTTTCTAGATCATTAACCCTCCATTTTATTTAACAAATCTTTTCCAGCTATATGAATTTATTATCTTCAAGAAGCCCATTAAAATATCATACCATTAAAACTCTCTCTCCCTCCATTAAAGAATTATGGAATTTAAAAGGTAAAGGCCAATAATCATAAATTTCACTTTCAATGAGACAATGTCCAAAAACAAGTGATGGATATGTTTAGGACCAAATTGATATATATATATATATATATATATATATATATATATATATATATATATATATATATATATATATATATATATATAAAATAAAATAAAAAGTTGTTTTCGGTCTATTTCAACAATTTTTACTCATTACTACTAAGTACTAACCAGTCATGTACTTACGCAAAGCGGCCGATAACGAATAACTTCTTTCGGTAATTATTTTTATTCGGTAACATGTCATATATATATATATATATATATATATATATATATATATATATATATATATATATATGTGTGTGTGTGTGTGTGTATGTGAAGAGCAACAAACCATATAGAAAACATAGAGTGATGTAGCTTCTTTTGTGCACAACCTTTTGTCCAGCAGTAAAAAATACAAGTGATACCTTGCAGTGAGTGATCATATTACAAGTATAGTTTAGCCTTGTAAAAATTGTAATTTTCTTGGTGATAATGAAATCCTTTATCTCATTCGCCAATAGATGTAGGTCAAATTACACCGAACCACTTTACATTTTGTGTTTAGTTTTACGTTTGGAGTTTTCAGTAGTTTTATTCCGCATGGGTAACAAAAATCATTTATCATGCTTAACTTGTTTTGTTGCGTTTTCAACATCTAATTGCAATCATCTCATGGAGCAACTAAAATATGATAGCAAAAGGTTTACAAGCACTGTGATCGAGGGGATAATGTCAATGGTTATGAATGTTACTACAACAATATATAATCTACTGTGAATCACATTAGTTAGTCAGAGCAATAAATTACTATTAAACCGACGAGGGTAAATATTTAATTGTATAATCACGTCGATACACATGTACGAAAAGGAAGCTAGAAGTTGGTCTTCTTTTCCAAGATGATTTTTTATCAAGTGATTTTAGTTTCAAATTGATTAGAACATCTTTTTTGGTTTTACCCTCAATGGCAATTATATATTTTTTTATTGATTATCGTTTTGCCGTTAAAAAATACTTAAAAAAAAAATTAAAAAAAAAAAAAAACTTTGAATATAAAATAAACTGGAAACATGTTGGAGTTTATAGAATGGACCAAAAAACACATAGTAATAATAAAGGAAAGGTCGATGAGACGATGACATAAACTATAACAAAATCCATAGTATTTATTATATTCATGATCTGGATAAGGAATATGGGGGAGGGGATTTTGAGATAACTAAGAGCAGTGCATGTTAGATAGATGCCACTTGATGAAAGTGACTCTTGATGTTCGATCCACTGTCCATATGGGTGATCGACAATAACTTTATTGACCAAATTCTTGTGCATATTTTTGTTCATTTTCCATTTTTATAAACAACAATACGAATTACAAACTTATATATTGTGATAATATTTTTAAATAAAACGGTCTACAACTTTGAAATATTTTTATGACTTTTGTTTAAGGGAAATCTTCAGAAAAATCATAATATTTTAATCTGATTTATAAAAAAAAATCTCAAACTAAATTTGTTTACAGAAAAATACAAAATACTGACTAAAACTTCAAAAAAACTATTTTCAATCGGTTTCGCAGATTTAGCCGGTATTTTGTCATTTTTCATTAATTTTATCAAAATTTTGGGACTTTTTTGAGAATTACCCGATAACCAAGATATTGACACTTTTCTGAAAATTACTATGAAATTAATAAATATTATTATTAACAAATCATTTATAAACATAATAAATATTTTTATTATAAACAAAGTAAATATATTTGTTGCTAATTTCTAGAAATAAATTGGTAGACTAAGTACTCATTTATTGTTTGCTGCCACTTTAAACTCTCTACGTTCCTCATATGCATTATTGTAGATATGATGGTGAGATGTACTCATTGAGTGTTCCTCTAATATTAGTGTTTCTCTTATGTTGTTAAACCTAACTACCACCCAACATCCATACCTCACATGGTAACAACCATCGGCTAGCACACATAAAACATCCCAAAAATACAATCTAAAAATTTCGTTTGAAAACATTACTAAAACCATAATATCCAAATATCATATAAGAAAACCATAAGTCGTGTGTCTCAAAATGTCATAAAATATGTCTCATATCAAAACTGATGACAAGATCATATCAAAAATATCAGAGTCTAACTCACAGGCTAAAACTATGGTGTGTGCCATGCCATCATCCCGAGCCTTTCCCTTTGCTAGCTGAAGTACCTGAAACCAAAACTGAAACTGTAAGCACGAAGCTTAGTGAGCTCCCCCAAACTACCACATATCATACAATAACATATAAAGCACATACTGGGCACTACATCGGACCGAAGTCCGGAACT